GACTACATGCTTTTAACAGCCTAAGTTATCCTAGTTTTATTGTGTTGTTTTAAGTTCTTTGTGAATCATGTTAATACACTATTTGGTTACACTTTATTTCGATAGTCCACTTTAGACATTCTATTAACTATAAGTAACTTTGTAACTACATGTCAATTCGTCTCATCTTTTTTAAAACACTTATTTTACCTCACACAGTGTAATCTGACCCCATTTAATAATTGTAACATCTTCCAATAAGGGCGAGCGTTACAAATGAATCCTTGCAAAGTAAATTAACCTTTTGTTGTAATTGGTTTTCAGTAGGGATGCACCGATACGATACTGGTATCGGTATCGGGCCCGATACTGAGCTCTTGTACTCGTACTCGTACTCGTTAAAATGCCCCGATACCAAACGCCGATACCACACAGCGCCATATTCAGACCAAGAAACACCGACAACAGAACAACAGACAGCAGAATGGAGTTAAGGATGTCTACTACGAAGTATATGTATGCAACGAATATAACGTTAAACTTTCAGTATACTGGAAAAAGTGGTATCGGTGCATCCCTAGTTTTCAGTAATGCATACCATCTAATCACTTGTAAGAAAAAATTATGAGGACGTTGAAGATCTTGATGAAGATGTTTATTGCAGCATAGCAGTGACAAAGTGCATGTTGCACCTTGGGGTCAATGGAGACGGAATGAACCCAGAACATCCTAAACTCAAACCCTTTTATACATTTACAGTTTAATGTAAATGAAGTTGCTCCTGTAATAACAGCTGTGCTCTGTATGTTAATGAAGTTCTGACACCTGATTATCTGAGATGGTCCTCGGTGTCCCACACTCGCTCCAATTCTAAAATTGGTCACCATTTGCTCAAGATGTGATCATCCCAAATGATATAGAAACAACATAACTGGTGACTTTTATCTTCTCTGTAATAATTAAACCATTTTGGGAAATGAGCATGATCAAACTTCTATTGTGGAGTGGAATCTGGGTCGGGGCAGACTATAGTTTCTTACACACTACAGATGCAATTCTCAATTGTGCCCGTAACAAAAATTATAAACCAAAATGATAAACCAGAAGTGATCTAATCCTGACCAAGTTTCTCAAATCCTCCTTTCCTATTCTTCAGTCACTTCCTGCTCATTGGTGAGATAAAACTCACTTTTGCTCCACTGTGAGATGTGTGCTCATGCTTCTGCTCCACTGCAAAGCTCTTTTGATTATGTATTTTATATCGTAAAAGCCTTCCACAAGATATATTAAATAAAATCATGTATGAGCAATACCATATAGTTAGTAAGGGAATGTGATATTTTTTAATTTAACCATTTTCTTCACCCTTTATATCATTAATTTTCACTAAATATTTTAGACTGTTGTCTTTGTGATAATATTTCACAATTCCATCATTCTTTCATTCTGAGTAATAATTTAGTCTCTTTGTTTATTTACTTATTTTATCATTAGCATATTTAGTCATTGGGACGGTACAGTGGCTCAGTGGGTAGCGCTGTTGCATCAGAGCATGAAAGTCCCTGGTTATTTATTTATGATTGATTGATTGATTTTTCCTTTTATTATTTTGAAGCAAACAGGATCTCAAAATTACATTTGCACTGGTCCATTTACATTGTCAGGTGCACATAGCGCACACACCACATATATCCACTGCAAAGCTGGCAACTTTTGGCAAAGCTGTGTAAGCTAAAGAACTTTTACAGTCTGACTCACCCATTTTACATCTCTACCTGAAGCCACGTTTTTGTGAATTGGAATGTGTACAAAAATTATGGGTGACTGAAGGATGCAAAAGATACAGTTAAATGCCTCCTTCAAAATACACCAAATGAAAGCTACAAAACAAAAGCTGCCTTCCAGTGATCCTTCAAAAGTTTGTCCACTTGATGACTTGGCAGCTGAGATATACAGCCTTTTAGCCTTATGTTTGAGAATCACCCAAAATGTGCAATGAGAACAAATCATTTAATCTATAACTGTCACGGGTGGTTGCAGGAAGACAGAAGAAGACGAGGAGTAACGTTCTAACACGAAGTTTAATCAGACTAATCCAAACAGTAGTAAAACAGGCAGGTGACCGGACAAAGAGTGACTTTGAAGGTACAAATTATAAAGCAAACACAAACAAGATGATTAAGCAAATACAGCTGAAACACAGAAGTCATAATGAGGGTGACCATGGTAAATAAAGAGTGGCAGGAAATCAAAACAAAGTAAGGCATGAACTGAATGAGTAAAATGTAAAGGTCCCTGAACTGAACTAAACTAAACTGAACATAATGGTGACAATAACATGATTTCTATAACACATACCGTGTAACAAGATTTTTTTATTTATTTATTTTTTTTGCCACAGGGGTGCTTTGAGACATTAAGGCAGACTTTTCTGTAAAGATACTTTGAAACAACACGGATTGTAAAAAGCACTACATTTTTGAAAATGTATTTACATTTACATTTAGTCCTTTAGCAGACGCTTTTATCCAAAGCGACTTACAAATGAGGACAATGGAAGCAATCAAAATCAACAAAAGAGCAATGATATGCAAGTGCTATAACAAGTCTCAGTTAGCTTAACGCAGTACACGTAGCAAGTTTTTTTTTTTTTATAATATAATAAATAAAAAGAAAACAGATAGAATAGAAAAAAAATAGAGCAAGCTAGTGTCAGAGGCCATTTTTGCTTTTGTTAATTGTATAATAAATAAAAAGAAAACAAATAGATAGAATACAAAAAGATTAGAAAAGCTAGTGTTATTTTTTTTTTTAAATAAATAAATAGAGTTAGAATAGAGAGGGCTAGAGTTAGAGGGTCAAAAAAAAGATGGAAGAGATGTGTTTT